TTTGAGATGAACCATCTAGAGGACATTGATCGCCATTAAAGAAATAACAAAACAAACTCTATATACACAACTGGTCGACGTTACAATCCACTCAAAGTAAACAAAACATAGCTGTCATCACCTCCTCTAATTGAAATTCAAAAGAAAGAATTTAATTAACTATTTTCCATTTTGTTTGTTCAACTTTCAGCGTAGGAAAGAAATTCAAAAATTCCCGACCTTAATTAAGCAATCAAAAATTTAAGATAAACAGAAAATACTCTAAGAAACTGAAAGGGGGTGTAATGATTACATTTGATTAATATTTGGGGCATCGCAAATAAAAGAAAATCATGTATTTTAAAACAAAATTAATCACTTATAAGCAAACTTTTTGAGCTTAGCCAAACGCGCTCTAAAACCACCTTACATACATACATACATACATACATAATGGAAGCAAAAAAATCTCATCTTGTTTCCATAGTTAAATGTATCAAAGAAACATCCATGAATTTTGAGCAAAACACAACAAAGAATCCAACTTCAACACTTCCAAACAGTAACCAATCCATCAAAAATGTAAAAGAAATAGAACAAAATTTTAAAAACTGAGAAGGGGTGTGAGTTACATTCACCGTTGTTCTGCCAGCAGAGGCGAGAAACAAATATCGATATATATATACTTCTCATTGTGTAAATTTAAATTAAAGAAGAGTAAATTCGGTCTACATTTTCTAGAATTTACCCATCAACAAAAATCACAAAAAAAAGTAAGAAAAAAGAACCAAAAAATGCCAAAAATAAAACTTAGAAACAAATACGAGAATCAATTAAAATTCAAGAAACTGAAGTTACCTGCCATTGTTGGATTTAAGATATTCATAATTTGGAAATTGAGTGATAGTAGCAGAAAACCATTGGTTTGGAGAAAATATATATTCCGAAGATATCTGCATAAAAATTATAATCTATTTACTTATTGAGCTATCTATTTACAATGTTATGACAAATACTACTTGTAAGGCTATTGTAGTGATTCTCTATCAATTCAGACTTTGCATATAATTGGAGAAGCCAGCCAACAAGAGAGGAACTGAAAGCCCAATGACTATGCTGTTAATATAATTCCAGCATTAACCATTAGAATTTCACAAACCAAGACAGTTGAGTTCTCCTGTGCAACAATGATGTAATAGAATTGATTCAAATTTGGAACAAAAATTGAGAAAGCAAAAAATGATAGGAATGATGTTCCTCTATTGTAAAAAACAAAAAAGAATAATTGAAATAGACACACAGAAGCTGCTAAAAATTACTAGTGAGAACGACTACTAAATTCATTCGCGTTGGTGGATCCAACAGATCTTACTCAGTTCTCTAACTTGAAAAGTTCCTAAACTTCATCTGTACTGTATACACGAGCTTCAACAAGTCTGAGGACTTCCTGAGTACCCTCAAATGATTGGTTTTATCTCCAACCTGCATTTCCAAAGTATTAACCATCTTTCGGTTGCCCATATTGCACTTTGCAAGTAATTAAAGTCACAAATTGTATTTATTGTTTCATTTCCTATAAGTTAGTGTTTCATTTTGAATGTACCAATACAAAAATAGGCAATCTATCTCATCAAGATCTAAAAGAGAGCAATGAAGACCTGCCATAAGCTCTCAACATAAGCACTTCCCACTGTAAAAAATAAGCAGGAAGATAGAGAAATGGCAAATATAGATAGTGAGAGGTGAAGAATAAAATCCACATTCAACTCTAATGAAAGAATCATTTTTCTGGCTGTATAACTGGGAATGGAAGCTTTGAACTCAATATTGAGTAGAGAAATCTTGTAACATGAATAAAAGAAATGCAAGTTGACAAAGATTGGTGAAACTTACTTCACAACAGGTTGGTTAAAGTTCTTAACCAGGAGATCCTTTATTTTTCTATTGTACACCTCTAACATGTTGACATATAGCTCAAACGTCATGATACTTCTCGTCTCATTATAAGCTTTGAGAAAATAATAAAATCCAATAGAACAAATTATCCAACAATTAAACAATATGGAAGTTAATGTTATCATTATCTTGACTTAATTTCCATTTTCTTTTGAAACATATGAAATCGAAGAGATAAATAAAGAAGGTAGGAAAAATTCGGTGAGGAAGAACATTAGAACCCAAGAGAAGCTAAGAGAAAATCCATGAAGCAGAAGTCCTAAATGGCCTAAAGTTTTTGAGTCACCAGCACAGCAAAAGGATTACCCTGAAACTAATGTTATTTAGGTAAAAACCATAAAAATGGATGAAAGCATACAAACACAATGTTCTAGAGATATTTCTACAAAAGCCACAACTCTCTGTGATTATGACTTCTTAAAGGACGAAGATGAAGATGATGTTGATGTTGTTATCGACAAATGATACAATCTAAGGGATACTTAAGTGAAAAATTGTGCAAAGAAAAAAATTAAGTCTTCTTTCCCTCATTCCCTATATGAAATAATTAATAAGATCTAATTTGCATTTTCCAAATATACAACCAACTGTAAATCAAAATAAGATTCAACAAATATCTCAACAACACAAAAAACTTCTCCAATGAATCATATGACAATGCCATTGAATCCATTCACTATTTTAGTTTAGGAATCCTTGGACTTGCCCAAATTACACCAAAATCATTACTCTCTACATCACTAAATTATAAGAAATTAAGTTTTCACAATTACAATATTCTAACCAAATTTGGACAAATAAGGCCAATAAAATCACCCTGCTTCTTTTGGTACAATGAAAACACCAAATTGCCATGATTCAAAGCTGTACCCACAATAAATCACATATAATGTTGTCCCATAACTAGAATAAAATTGGGAAAAAAATGTCAAGTTCAGCAACATCATTTCCAAGAATTGAGCATGCACAAAATACATGCCCCCGAGCTTTAATATAAGAAACACAGAAGTATAAATTTTCTCCAAAGGCAAAAGTTGGAAAATGAAATAGAAACATAAAGAATTAAACTCAAGAAGAAACTGATCAATGCATGTATAAGCATATACTTACAAACCTAACAATGAGACCCCTAAAATATACTTCCAGTTCGATGCAAGAAGATCAATTTCTGTCGTAGTCTCCATTTTGCACTTTGAAGAGTTGGAACTTGAAACTGACAACAGAAAAATGGCGAAAGCGGGAAAAAATATGCACAGTAGCAACAAATTGAACAAAGAATACACAACAAGAACATCAAAGGAACATACTTTAGCTATTTTGAGTTTGATTTCTCAAAAGACTGAAAAAAAATTGCAGATACAACAATAGAAGTGAAGAGATCGTAACAAATATAATTGGTACTTCATCTTAAATTAGCTGATAACCAAGAAATTAGTTGGTGCCAAAACTAAGAAATAGAAACAAATATAGTGTCTAGAAATCGGGAGTGCTCTTGAAAGGGAAAGGAAATTGGAAAGGTAATGGTAAATGTTAGGAGATGAGATGTAGATGTAGAAAAACTCCTCACAGTGCGGAGTCTTGCTCCTCACGGTGTGCAGAGTCTTGCTCCGCATGCGGAGAAAAACAGCCAACGTAATGCAAATAACTTCTTCCTAATAATTGAACTGTAACAACCAAATAAGACATCACCATGAAATAATAATAGCCAGTAACGATGTTGTTTCTAATCAGTTATCATAATAACATTTTATTTATAGATATGCTTTCAAGAAAACAAACGCACAGGTTATAGGGAGCAGGAAGTGCAGGAAGATTATTAGTGTCTAATTCTTTCTTACTCATCACTGCACGTTGAAAACAACTTATCAAGAGGCATGGAAGGGCATTAATGTTAAGTGTCTATAGGAAGAGCTTAAAAAAACAACAAAACAAAAGAATGATATTATCAATGATTGAGCAACAGCTAAAAAAAGAGTTCAAGGAAAAAAGCCGCTAAAGAATCATCTGCAAGATAGATTGAAAATATAGCCATACATTAAGAAAAATAGAATAAAATTAAAGTAAAGACATAAACAAAAAAATTACCCTATTTGATGCTTTGAGTATTCAGAGGAAAAAAAAAATGAAGTGCTGGTTTTCCAGTAGACAAGTTGTTTCTTGAGAACCGAAGAACGCGAATTAAACTTTATTCAGTGACAAAATTCATTCTAGTTGATATTGTTCAACTTAGTACTGGCATATCTCACAAAACAAGCAATTTAAAAAATCTGGAGCATCAACCATATGCATAAGGCTATCAAATAATATCGTAGTTCATGAAATATAACATCATTAGGAACAGGATAACTGACATGTAACATCTTTGTTAATCGACATAAGTTTTTATTTTTTCAATAGTAATAGAAAAGAAGAAACATAAGAGTTAGGAGACGTGACAAAATGAAAAATGAGACAAGCCTTGATCAGCAACAACCTTAATATGGTTGTCTATGTTAATCATAAGAATGGATATCTTTCCCAGCCACAACACTGCAGGCTGCAGTAAATATCTCAAATGTATCCTTCTGATTTTGTTTGCAAATTCTGAGCCTCCCATCGAAATAAAACCATTAGTCAATCGACAACATGAGATAAATAGACTAAAAAATTATTTTTCGAAAAGTAATTGAGGTAAAAAAAAAAAAAAGTCCATTTTTTTAATGTGGAAAAAAGCTCTGTACGGTTAAAGTTGTTTTGAATGCCATAGTACTGTGAGTTGTACGGAATTTTAAAAGGGTAAGAGCTAATCACTGTATGCACAGTACCAAACTCAGGTACTTTCCCAAATTTCTACAAGAATACGAAACTTCTGAGTGTCATAAACAGCATTAAAATATTGTGAAGATGCTCTAAAAATAGCTATAAAGATTGTAGAGTATTTGAGAACTATACCTGGTACATTTATTAATGGTTGGAAAAATAGAATGACATAATGTATTAGATTTTAGCAAAATTTTTATATTTTATTTTTGAATTGATTCATACCTCTGAGATATACAAACACAATAGAGAATTGAGACGAACTTCTAAATAACACCAATGGAACTTCTTAGAACCTGTATATCAAATATAGAAATGAAAATTATTATTTTGTGTATCATAATACTGTTTTATAAATAAACGAAAATATTAGGAAATACTGGATGGTAGCAAATTGTAATAATTTTTCAAAAATCGGAAAATATACCTATGAGAAATACACACAAGAAGAGAAATATGTATGCAATCTATAGCAGCCTATGTATTATTGTACCCTTAAGTAGCATAAATGCTAGAAACTTACATATCCATTGAATTGAGTAACACTTGTAGCTTCCTCTGCGGTACACATTGTAATGAAACCAAACCTTGTACTTCTTTCTGTAAACATGTCATAGATATTCTGCAAATTTCACTACTTAGCTAGCAATCCATCATCACAAAAGGAAAAGAAGCAGTTTTTTTTATCTTATTTTATTTTATTTTAAATTTTTTTGTCACTATAGGTTAACAGATGAACTGGTAAAACAAGTAGCCTTGCACTGAAATATAAGAACATTGATATGCAATGTGTACATAACCCATTCTATACACAACCACATGGCCTTCAACAAGCATACATCTATCCCATTAATATACAAATTACAAAGAAATTGAAAATTCTACACAGATGCAAAGTAAGAAAATAAATTGCTTGACATGAACAAAATCCCAATTCTTGAAATCATATCCCTAAAATAACATTATTCCGAGTTTTTTCACAAACAAAGACAGAAGCATTAATTCACAAAATGTCTTCCATATATCGACCACTAAATAAAGCATAGGAGATTTAAGATAATCGTAGAAGAAGGTTGATACCAGCATAAATGGTATTTGACTACAAGTCATTGTAATCAAAGAAAAAGCCTGTTTTGCAGCTTGAAAAAGTTACTTTGACATCGAAGTAAAGAAATTTTAATAGTACAAGAAGGCATCTTTATGCTCTAGCAAAGAAAACGAAACACTTTGTAAACTAACTAAAACATTTAAAATATATAAGCGCATGCATAGAGAAACTCACAGAGGTGGAATCAACGGGCATTCTCACATCAAAACTATGATCAATCCATAGGCCAGTCACCAACGTCTTCCCATCTCTACATGCAGCAATGCATATGGGATCATCATGTACCACAACACATCAAATCAGTTCTTCACTTGACCAATATCGTCAATTACAGGAAAAATGACTAATATCCACCTAATTATTCCTTTAGAGGGGTACAAAAGCGAAATGGCTTATATATACAATATGCAGTTGAAGTAAAACTCTGTAATCACATAAATAAGCTTGTCAACAATCACATGAGCGCAGTCCGGATCATAATTACCAACATCAACCCCTCCACTTTCTAAAAGCTTCAGCCGAAACTGACAAAATTAAAAGGCAGTGTGAAATATCCATTTGACCCAAATAGAATGAAGAATATAATTGAAACCAGAGATAAAAATAAAACAATTTAAAAGGAAAAACCATTCAATGGGCACGAGAACCTCAATAATCGTAAATGAAGTCATCGAAAAACAAGAATTAGTTATTTGAATGGAAATCTTGGTTCAATTGGCTCAGATCTCTACAGAAGAAGAAATCAATGCAATAACCAAGAAGAAATACGTTGTCCCAACGATTGAGAGACAGAATCGAAGGAAAAAAAAAGAGGCGAAGAAGGGAGCTTAAGGTTTTTGTCGACTGCACATGGAGAAAATGAAAAGGGAAAGTGAGAGAGAGAGAGAGAGAGAGAAAGAGAGAAAGAGAGAGAGAGAGAGAGAGATGGCGAGAGAAAGAAATGAAGAGAAGAAAAGGGATGCATTCGGTGTCTCCGTGCACAATGGAGACACGATAGTGTTTCCTTGCTGGGGAAAAGGGGAGATAACTTACCGGCGGCGTGGTGACGGTGGTGCTGGCGAACCGATTTGGCTGTGAATGTGAATTGATAGCGTGACAAGCCACCGAGAAAACGATGATGCCGTTGGTTTCTAGTAGAGGGTTTAGTTTATTGCCGTGAATGAGAGCAATTAGGGCAATTTTACACTACTCCCTCCAAACGACGTCGCAACGGTTAACGATAGAAATGAACAGTACCTTTAAAAGTGGCTCCTCCGCATTGTGCGGAGTAATGGAGTGTTACTCCGCATTTGTGCGGAGTGCCACTTCGCAACTCCGCACACAACACTCCGCAATGTGTAGAGCGACTCCGCACAGATGCAGAGTGTCTATTCCGCATTTGTGCGGAGTGAAACTGAGAATAGCTATTATTTATTTATTTATTTAAAATATTAATATTACATTGCCAATACAGATAAACACAGAAGTAACATATCTTAACAAAATCATCATCATTGAAAATACAATTTGATCTATATATATACTTCTCATTGTGTAAATTTCTACAAATATTTAATAATTCATAATAGATACTTCTAAACAATATTTTAAAATTTTTCTTCCACAGCCAAAAGTAATAGAAGGAGAAATAACTTTTGCATGACTACTTACAGTGAGAAGCAATATAAAGGGTAAGAAATTCGCAGGTTTCTGTACTATAAGACCTGCTCTTGAAAATTTCTTATTCCTACAAGCTCAAGAGGACGGTAATTGAGTAAAATTGTAGAAGTTGGAGAGGACGATATCAGAATGGAATAGCCAATACACATGGATTTTAAAAATACAAATCGACTATAAAAATATCAATTCTTTCTTCAACCAACTATACAAAAAGAGTATGGGAAATTGAAGTACTCCAAAGTCAATAAATCCTACTGGGAAGGCTAATTGGAATTTTTGGCAGCACATGCAACAGTGATCTGTGAGGGAAAATCAAGAATGAACAGTGAACCTCAAACCCTCTCTTTTAAGAGAGTAGGGAGATTAATCTTTTAAATTACTTTATATTAAAATTGTAAAATTATCATTTTGCTCTTTTTATTTGGTCAGAATTATCAATTTTTCCTTTCTCAGGTCAACTAACATTTTGGTTGACGATTATCGTCAGTTCAATCTTCGCCTGCAAATTTTTTAAATGCTTGATATCTCGGCTAACATAAATGAAAGATTTGGGTCAAATCTACTACAAAATGAAAAGTTTGGTAACTTAACTGCAATACTCCCTAAAAGAATTTCATAATGCAGGTGAAAAACAAAATTAGTCTACATGAATAGGACGGAGGAAGTAATATACTACTTAATGAAAAAGTTGAGGATTTTAATGTTTCACTGCTCAAAGATTGAGGACCACAAATGTAATTTTCCTAACGCCTCAATGATTCACCTTAGAGTATAAGCTAAAACTTTGTTTAATAATTTTAATGCAAGATTCTCATAAAATTAGCCCCCCATTTGGTTGAANAAAGTAAATACAATTGAGCCACGTTTGAACTCATTTTTTAAAAATTCATTTTTTTTTAAAATTTAGCCCATGTTAGTCATTCATTATTTTAAATTTTTTTTTCAAAGACATTTTAATTACATATTTATTAAATAAAATATTTTACATATAAATTCAAATTTTTTTTTCGCATTTTAACCACAAATTTTATAAAAAATCAATATTCCAAAACTCACTTTCCTTAAAAAAAAACTTGGTTACCAAACAGATGATTATTTTCAATTATAAATTGTTTCGATAAAATAATTTTACACGTAAATTTAAAATTTTACTAATATTTTTTAATCACATATTTTTTAAAAAAAGTTCACTATTATAAAACTCATTTCTCTAGCTCAAACAAGGACTCAATGTGATGTTGACAAAGAAAAATATTAGTTACAAGGAACAAAAATTGCCAATTTCAAGAAAAAAATGAATTATACTAAGTGTATATTTTATGTGTCACATTTTGGTGTATATTGTGTACAAATTCAAAAAATATTGAAAGAAAAAATATGTTTTTTTAAAAAATTGTACAATCATATATCCCCAGGTGACGTGAAATCATAAAAGATGTAAAACAAAATGTGATTATAGCGTGATCGAAAAAAAAAATTTGCTTAAAAGCAATAAATCTCTCTCACACATTGGACAATGCACTGTGAGTGAGATAAGCTATGTAATATCAACCACACACGTTGACGGCCCTTACTCACTGTCCTTTCTCCCTCGAAATTGGAGTCTTGATAATTAATTTTTCACTTTTATTTTTGGGAGGAGAAAAAGGCTTTTGCTTTCTCACTTGGGTCATTGAATTCTTGAGGGGTCAGTAACAGTGGCAGAGAAAGAAATGGCACCCAAAGTTCATACCTTTGAGGAGGTAGCCAGGCACAATAAGAAAGAAGATTGCTGGCTTATCATCTCTGGCAAGGTCAACTTATTTTCTCTTTGCTTATTCACTTATTTTTGCGGATATTTTGGTGTTGTGATTGTATGCAATTTGCTTTTTTTTTTTTTTTAAAGTATCTTGATGTATGTTTTCGTTGGAGTATACCAGAATGTGATTTTCAGGTGAATATAAGTTGGATTGGGAGTCCGATTCGGATTAAACAATGAATTGAAGAGGATATTTGAACTCTGGTTTTAGAGATTGTTTAAGATTTAGAAAAGAAAACCTTATAGGCATGTGATAAAATCATTTGATTCATTTCACAGCATGAATCATTTTGAATTTTATTGTGTTTTTTTTTAAAATCCTTTTATATGATTGTGCTAGAGGAGGAAAGTCAGTTCAGCAAAGGAGGAAAAGATATTCGAGAACTGAGTTTTATGTGATCCATCCTCTAAACACTTTTTTTGCAGGATATGTCACTTTTAAGCAACTTTTTCCTGCCAAAAATATGTATTTTGAAAAGTTATTTTTGCATTTATGCTTACTTTTTTAAGCTTAGAGCATCTCTAATCCATTCTCCATTCCACCAAATTTCACCATTTTGCACCAAAAAGTTGGTGCAATCACTCTCCAACCCAACACCATAATTTGTAGCATTTTGGTGCAAAATGATGCAAATGAATAATGTTGCACCAAATAAAATGGTTAGTGTCCTTTTTGCCCTTCTTTTCCATTTTGTGCCAAATTTTTGTTAAGGGTATTTGTGTACGCTTGTTGTTATACAATAAATTTTAATTCTTAATTTAAATGTATATTATTATGTGCATTTGTAATAAATTTTAATCATGTAATCAATAATAATTAAGGAATGAAGGAAAAGAAAAGTATTCAAGAAGATTTAAAATGTAGCAAACAAGATTATTTAAAATTAAAAGCGTGTTCGGTTGTGCTTAAAATCTAATTAAATTGAAAATATAGTTGTTATTGGGTCTCACTCGTCTAATAAAAGTCAACAATAACGGCTAGTTTTTGAATTTTAATTCGATTTTAATCTCTACCGAACACGCCCTAAGACGAAAACCATCAGTTTCAAGAATTCCTCGTTCGTTATAAACAAATTAAGGATAAAAGGCTCACATTGCACTTCGAAGTGTATTAATTGATCATTTGTGGGATGAATATACGAATTTCGAGAATTAAATGATAAAACTGGTTCGACTTTTTAATATCAAGATATTGGATTCAAAACGTATTGAAATTTTTTTTTAATATTATGATTTAATATTTTCTTAGTTGTGATATTTGTATTAATTGTAATACTTTTTTTTTATTCATTAATGAATTCAATATTTTTGTTAACTAAACGAAATTATTTATTTAGTAATTGATGTAGTAATAAAATAAATAAATAAATAATTTTTGAGATAAATAAATTGTTAAAAAATGATGAAAACGCTGTACATTTGGTGCAACTTTTAGTGTATTAGGTTGGAGATGATTTTCAATTTGGTGCAAGATTTGGTACAAAACTTATCTCATTTTTTTGTGCACGGTTGGAGATGGCCTTATTTCTTCTGATATACAAGTCCATCCTTCACCAATAGTGAGTTAAGTGGCTAAAAGGTTTGGATCCGCCGTACAGACCAAAGCAATAAAAGAAAATGTTGCAAATCTTTGGCAAAAGCCAATCAGACGAATTTTTTGAAAATGGAAAGATGCAAAGCTTTACCTCCAACAATTCGGCTGATTAGACACGTTACTAATTTTGTGAAAGATTTGCAACTTTTCATATATTGATCTAGTTCATACTCACACAGGGTGAACCCATAGTAATATGTGCAGATGCTTTTGAGAATTTATTTTAAGAGCGATTATAGCTTTGTTTCTTTCACTATTAGTAACTAATCAGTGAAGTTTGTACTATAGAGAGAACCGTGAAATCCAAGCGCATCTGAGTTATAAAATTACAGATACTGGATAGACTAAAGCTTGATCAGAGCAATGAGGGATCCAACACAGAGATTACTTAATCTTGGGAATTTATGGTGAGAATTGTGCTTTCTTTTCAACCATGAGAGAATTGACTAAGAATTCTCCAATTGGAGAATGGACTTTTCAAAATCCAAATAGGCTTGAGAGGTATTTTTTTTCTTTTTCTTTATAAGATGGTGGCTTCAGAGACTTGTTCCTGTAGCACTAGGGTCAATATCTCTGCAAAGTGGTGCCATTTATAGATCTCTTTGTGCTTACCTAATATGGCATATATTGTTCTGTTAGCAGTATGTTAACAAAATTATTAGTCTGTTGAAAACGAAGATGATATCAGATTCCTCTTATACCACTTTGTTGAAAAAAATAAGAGATTTTAGTCACAATATGAAGAAAAGATCTCAAAGACACAAGAATAATGTAATTTGCGGAGTAAAGGAGATGTTATTATAATATGGAAAAATAATATAAGATTTGTGTTTATGATTTGCCTGACTTAATCTAAATCATAATGAAGAGCCAACTGTATATAGGAAACAAATGGGGGACCTCCAAACCTTAATAGTAGAGTTGTAATTGAAGTAAAATATAAGAAAACTCGTTAAAACGCAAAATCTGGCTTGGGAAACACCACCGCTTGAATGGGCAGCTAGCACATGGCTAGTGGCGCCATGATGCTCGAGCGGTAGGCTAGCGCCGATAGGCACCAACTTCTCTGCTCTTGGAGTTCAAGCGCCTAGCTAGACTCAAGGCTAGCAAAAATGCGACGAGAAAACCCCACGTTCCATAATTTCAACCTCTTCAAATGCAACATAAATTCTAACACCCAATAGGGCTTTCAAATAGAATTTCAACTATAATTTGTCAAGTAAATTTGAATAGGATTCCATAATAGTATTCCACATAAAATTCTTATTAACATGCATTTTATTTAGAATTTTCAATTATCGTCAACTGCACCCAAATTCTTACCATC